CAGCGGATCCACTCCATTGAAATCTCTGACTGCGGCAGGGCTGTTTGGACAGGGACAAGGCCAAGCACGAGCGAGGCTGTTCCTGTGTATGTGCTCATCCAAGGCTGTGCAGCGAGGAACGTCACAGGAAGGAGAAAAAAAAAAAAAAACTGAACCACTGAATATTCCTCTGGAACTTTCAGCAACTAGTCCTCACTTGAAGAAAATCCCTGGAAACACTTTCTGCTGTTCAATAATATTTCTGAGTGTTTAGTTAGAGTCACAATGGGGTTTAGAAGACCTGCCGTCCCATGAGCCACTGGGGCACGTCAGCTTTGTGTGTGTGTGTGTGTGTCCTCTGTTCATCAGAGAGTGACAGCTTACCTCAGTGGAAATTCAACTGAGTCATCATGTTCAGTGAAGACGGAGGGTTCAGCACCTTTCTCTGCTCACACCCACACAGACACTCAAGTCAAAAAAGATTCTTTTGTTGTTTTTAAATTCATATCTCTGTGAGAAAAGTGTCTCATATGTGGAACAGAAGTGTGTGTAGCATCGCTGTCCTCACTGAGATGTGCATTCTAGATAAGCATGGGTGTCACTGATGGGAAACAAATGAGGTGAATTCTGTTGTCACCAGCAACGGAGGGATTTTTTTTTTCTTCTTTCTATTCTGTCTTTGTTGTTGGAGAGCGAGGCGGAATAAAGTGCACTGGAGACTGAGCTGGAAAAAGACATTTCCTGGTGTGAGCAGAGGGGGCGGCTGGAAGGAAGGAAGGAAGGAAGACAGCCAGGCTCAGAGGCACAGAGACGGCCACCGTCGGCCACCGTCGGCCACTCAGAGTCCCGGGCTCCTGCAGGTGCGGTGGAAACAGCTAAAACAGACAGTCGTGAAGTGAAGAAATGAGCCGCAGCAGGACCAGTAATCGAGGAATGGTTGGCAGCTGAGCACGAAGAAGGAAAAGTGGCTGAGGGAGCAGGACTGCTGCTGGCTCAGTCCGCTGTTTACTGCTGCTGTTGGTTTACACTCTACATTATATCAGATGTAAACAGATGTGTGTCATCTGGCATCGGCTGTCGGGGAAATTCAGTCCGCAGACACTGGCTGTCGTTAGCTAAGTGCTAAATGTGGTCAAGTTATTTTCTAAGTGTAAGATCGTGATAATGTGGGTCAATAAAAAAAAAAGAAGATTTTTGCAAGATCGTACATCTGTTTCAATGGGAACAATGATCGCATTTTAAGCACTTAACATTTTCCGAGGTTGTTTGTTCAAATCCTAGTTTTTATTTATTTTCAATACATCATTTTTTACTCTTAGCTAGTGTTTGGCTTTAGATTTAAAATTTGGCAAATTTCAAGGGCATCATTTACATCTTTGTAAATGTTTTTTTCTTTCTCGCTAAGATTCAGTCCAACAGGACCAACATTGAAGTATTTTGGTTATTTTATCAGCTTTTTTTTCTGCAATTTCAGGCAATTTAAGGACTTGTTTTGGCTACAAAACTTAAACTAAGAATCTTTGACCTTGGTTGATACGTTTGTCTCTGATAACATCCAGTCATGTTACTTGTGTTTTCTGGTCTGGAAAACTCAACATTTCAATCCAACACCTGTAAATTTAGCACCTGCGCTAACCCAGTGTGTACCAGTGGATCGAGTGCTAGCTGCAGTTAGAAGCAAAGCTACACATCAACACATCACTTCCTGCTTTGAGTCATCATTGTTTTATTTGATTTATAATTTCTCCGTTATTTTTTTTTTTGTTTTTGCTGTGTGTACAGCTGATAAGACTTAGAGTCAGGGCCTGGAACGGCACACACCCTCACTGCTCTTGTTCACCTACTAAAAATAAGTGGTGAAGTAATGTGAAAAACACTGCTCTATTTACATTTTGGTAAGTTCCAGCCTGGACTCTGCCCGCCTGCCTGCAGTGTTGAATCTGGGCAGAATGACCGAGGGGAAGTTTGACTGTTTTTTTTTTTTTCTGGCCGAGTGACGGAGAGAAATGGTGAGAAAGTGGAAATAAAAAAAAAAAGTGAATATAAACAGAAGAGATGTCTTTATTTGACCATAGAAACAGTTCAGTTCTCAACAGGTGAAAATACTAATTACAGAGCAGCCGTTCTCAGCGGTGCCAGTCAGAGATGGGGGCGGGAGACAGGCCACTGTCATGGCTGTCGTGGCCGTCGTGGAGACACACACACACACACACACACACACTATGACATCTCATTCCTTCCTAATAGCCAGAGGGAGGTGGAGGAAGGAGATAACGGACACAACTGGGCGGACGGCCGATACACATCTGGCTGAATTTATGAATGATTGGGATCAGAGGGGCACGTGGACGGACGTGTTTGTGCCCGGCACCGACCATGGCTGGCATCGCAGGAACCCCACCCCCCCCGCAAACCCCCA